TCTTGCTCTGTCGCCCAGGCTGTTGTGCAGTGGTGCGAACTTGGCTCACTGCAAACTCCGCCTCCCGGGTTCACGCCATTCTCCTGCCTCAGCCTCCTGAATAGCTGGGACTACAGGTGCCCGCCACCATGCCCAGCTAATTTTTTGTATTTTTAGTGGAGATGTGGTTTCACTGTGTCAGCCAGGATGGTCTCAATCTCCTGACCTCGTGATCCGCTCTCCTCGGTATTCCAGAGTGCTGGGATTACAACTGTGAGTCATCACACTTGGCCTAAATTTTTTTGTAGAGATGGAATCCCTATATGTTTCCCAGGGTGGTCCCCAACCCCTGGCCTCAAGTGATTCTCTAGCCTCAGCCTCCCAAAGTGTTGGGGTTACAAACATGAGCCACTGCACCCGGCCCTAATGTGGAATTTTATGTAGCTCTTACACACAGGCTGCTATGTAGCTGATAAGGATAAATGCTTTCAGTGTAGTGCTTGATTATTTGCTTTTTTTTTTTTTTTTTTGAGACAGTCTTGCTCTGTGACCAGGCTAGAGTGCAGTGGCGTAATCTTGGCCACTGCAACCTCTGCCTCCTGGGTTCAAGCAATTTGCCTGCCTCAGCCTTCTGAGTAGCTGGGACTGACTATAGGCATGTGCCACCACGCCCAGCTAATTACTGCTGTCTTGTATTTTAATTTTCTCTGCTTATTAGATGTTTGAAGTGATGCCAGGCATGGTGGCTCACGCCTGTAATCCCAGCACTTTGGGAGGCCAAAGTGGGAGGATCGCTTGAGGCTAGGAGTTGGAGACCAGCCAGGGCAAAATAGCAAGACTGCATCTCTACAAAAAAAAAAAAAAGATGCTTGAAGTGAATGTATACTCATCTTCTAGTTGTTTCTTTCTGTAAGGATGTCTGACCCAGCTAATTTGTAAACAGGAATTCTGCATTCGTTTATCTCTACATTCTCAACACCAGTTGGGCACACAAGTGTTTAATGAGTACTTAACTGATTTTATAGGAATAATTCATTGATTTCTTTGAATTTTGTTGCTGATTTTCAATGAAAAAAATGTTATCAGTACTTACTCATTGTGATGTCTACATATAGAACTAAGATTCTGTTTACTTATGTGAGTCTTTGGCTAGAGACATAGAATTTCTATCTTGACTGTGAGTTTAATTTCTGGCACTTGTGGTTTTATTGGCTGCAGAGCAAACATCTCTAGCAGAGATGTCCCTCAAATGTAGGAAATACCTGTGTAAACCTAACACCTGTGACTGAGATAGAAATGGTACCAAGCGAGTGGCTTCTTAGCCCATCAGTAAAGGTATCACACCGTAGGCCGGGTGCAGTGACTCATACCTGTAATCCCAACACTTTGAGAGGCTGAGGTGGGCAGATCACTTAAGGCTAGGAGTCTGAGACCAGCCTGGATCAAGATGGTGAAACTCTGTCTCTACTAAAATACAAAAAACTTAGGCATGGTGGTGTGCACCTGTGATCTCAGCTATTCAGGAATCTTTGGCACAAGAATTTCTTGATCCCGGGAGGCGGTGGTTGCAATGAGCCAAGATCGTACTACTGCACTCCATCCTGGTCAACAGAGTGAAACTCTGTCTCAAAAACAAAACAAACAAACAAACAAAAGTGATCACACTAAAACCAAGAGTTTCAGGCTGGTGCAGTGTCTCATGCCTATGATACCAGTGCTATGGGAGGCCGAAGTGGGAGGATTGCTTGAGCCTAGGAGTTCCAGGCTGCAGTGAGCTGTGATCAAGCCACACTGCACTACAGCCTGTGTTGGCAGAGTGATACCCTGTCTCTATAAAAAGAAGTTTCATAGTACAGACCAAACATCTTGAAAGTCTTATTAAATGCACACTTCTATCATAAAGCACTGTAGAAACATCGTGTGTTACTTCACATGGCTGAAGTGAGTTTAAATAATCTGGACTATTGTTACAATATGTAAACATGTGAAATTACAGTTATCCCACTTAATACTATTTAACTTATGCTTATCTGTTTGATGTTTGGATAAAGGTCCTAAAATGCTTTAGGAAAACATTATACTTTTATGATGCTGTTTTCAAGTTTCCTGTGAAATTCCTGTTTTTAGTGAAGTTACTGTCAGTGGGATACAAAGTGTAATTTATAGTAGACCTTTTTTTTTCTTTTTTTGAGACGGAGTCTTGCTCTGTCACCCAGGCTGGAGTGTGGTGGCGTGATCTCTACTTACTGCAACTTCCGCCTCCCCAGTTCAAGTGATTCTTGTGCCTCAGCCAACCCACCATCTTGGGCTCCCGCCACCATGCCCAGCTAATTTTTTTTTGGTGAGGGGGTGTGGTGAGACTGAGTTTCACTCTTTTTGCCCAGGCTGGAGTGCAATGGTGTGATCTTGGCTTACATCCTCTGCCTCCTGGGTTCAAGTGATTCTCTGGCCTCAGCTTCCCAAGTAGCTGGTGTTAACAGGCACGCGCCACCATGCCGAGCTAGAGACGGGGTTTCACCATGTTGGCCGGGCTGGTCTCGAATTTCTGACCTCGGGTAATCCACCTGTCTCGGCCTCCCAAAGTGCTGGGATTACAGGTGTGAGCCACCGAGCCTGGCCCTAGTGGAACATTTTGTTTCTGGTAGCATAGCTCTCTTGGCAATGGACACTAAGATGACCAAAAACCATGATTATGATCAATTAATTAAATGTGGTTAAAAGTCAGAAGTTAGAGTAAGTATGTGTTCATGAATGCGTAAAATATTGCACACTGAGAGAGTATTAAGCTTTTTATTTTCCCCTGGTAACAGTGAGGAGATTGCTGAAATCTCTGAAGCAGGAATGTAGCAAGAATTTTGAGGGCTCTAAATTCTCTGCTGTTTGACACTAAGGAATGGTTTGGCAGCATCCTCTATGCTAGGCACAGAACAACTCAGGAGGAATTGTACAAAGACCTTCTGAACCACATTTGAAGCTAGTCTATTCAGTTCCCATTCAAAATAAATACACAACTGTAATTGAATTTATGGTGATTTGGTCTGTATTCTAAAATTAAAAATCACTTTTGGGGGATTTTCACATAGGGGTATATTTATAATTTTCTGTGTGCTTTGCAGTTAAAAAT